AAAAAACAGGCCAGTGAGCTTTCACCCAGTAGAAGGGCAAACAATCCAAAAAGATCCAATAGCCTCACATTTGGGCTGGAGAGCTGGCTCAGCAGTTAAGAGCACGGGCACCCATCACAGGACCAGGGTTGGGTTCTCAGCACTCACACAGCAGCTCACAGCTTCTGCCACCGTCCCCGGCCTCCACAGGCAGCTGCTTGATCCCCTTGATGCACAGATGTCCCGTGGGCAAAATAATCATACCCATAAAATAAAAAATAAATCTCCAGAGCTTCATATCTACTTCCTCTAAAGGCTTCTGAGTGAATACATACTTTTTTTTTTCCTTCCCTAGACAGGGTTTCTCTGTGTAGCCCTGGCTGTCCTGGAACTCACTCTGTAGACCAGGATGGCCCAAACTCAGAGAGATCCTCCTCCTCCTGTCTCTGCATCTCAAGTCCTGGGACTAAAGGCATGCACCATCACCACCTGGCACTCATTATGTCTTAATCTCTCCTATTTGGACCCTGAGTTCTCAGTAAGGCCATGGGAGAAGTGCACTGGGAGACGCTATGCTGGAATACCACCAGCAGGGACATAGTAAGTATGAGAAATGCCTGAGTCGCCACTGAGGTCTGCTCACCCGCTGTCTTTCCAAGACCACAGATTGTGGCAAGGAGTCATAACTACCCTCCTGATAAGCAAATGTTTCCAGGTCATCAAGCTGGGTTTTGAGCTGCAGAATCAATTCTTTCTGCTTCTCCCTCTGGGTTTCCAGGCGTTCCCGTTTTTCCTGTTCACTCTGTGGTGAGAAAAATACTTGGGCTATTTTATAGAAAAGAGAAACCAAAGGCACTTTAAGACTCTCAGGCCAATAATGGCCAAAGAAATACATACGGCTTCAATGAAACAACAGACAAGCAGGCTTAGCAGTGACAATGTACTTCACCCAGGGCAACTGATGGCATCTGTGTTTTTATTTCGAACATGACACAAACAAGATGAAGCCTTTTGCTAATAGGCTTGTTGTTTTTCAAATATTTAGTCAGGAAACAGAAAACTTAGGTAAGATTGCCTCCAGAAGTTAAAGGTGCCAGTCATCTTGCATGGTCAGTCGACACAGGATAATTCCTCACTACTCTGTGCAAACCAATTTTTCCACAACTGTCTGGGGTAATGAGCCAGAGGCAGTGCCTTGTGAAGATCAGAGGCTCCTGTCCAGCATGAGCTAGATAGCTAGTCTGAGGGTGAGCCACAAGATACTGTCTCAAAAGCCAAAGCCTAGGGTTTGAGTAGAGAGAAAGCTTTACATATATAGAAATCAACCAGTTTTATGAAATTTCAAAGCTATTCGGAAAGGTTATAGCTATTTCTGTAAAACAGGAAACAATGAAATGTAAGTACCTAAGGCAAAGAAATTCAAAAGCCAAGTTACAGGGATGGAACATTAACAGTATGGTGTGTGGGTGTATGTGTGAAGAAAATTTCTGAGAACAACCCTTTCTCACTGACAGCTACCACATAGCTTCTGCCTTTAAGTTACTAAATGTCCTTTACAGGGATCAAGTCTTGCCAACATATTCTCAGATACTGGGTCTTTATCATTTTAAGTACAAAAACAAAACAAAAGCAAGCCAGATGTGATGTGTACACCTGTACTACTAAGTGAGTTTCAGGCTAGCCTGGGCTACATATATAGACTCTGTCTTAACAACTAACACTGAAAACAACCAACCAACCAACCAAAAAAAACAAAAACAAAACAAAAAAGGAACAGAGACACTACACCACTCATAGGCATAAGGCTGCACTTTAAACTACGATCTACACAGTATTAAAGTTAGCCTTAAAGTAGTACTTACCAAGCCCTCAAGAAGCAAGGTAGGAGAGAGGAAAGACAAAAAAAAAAACAAACAAACAAAGAATTACATTTTCGTTCAACTTCTTAAAGAACGATCCCCTTTCTTGAGCTTTGTTGAACATGACAGACACCTCAGGATGCCCTTCAGTTCTTCCTGAGTATTACCACTGCTTCTCATAACCCCATTCCTGGTCTCAGCTAGAAACGAGGCCTCCACTGACAGCTTTCCTGGCTTTCTCCAGGAAGAACAAGTCATTTCTTCCTTTGTATTGTGTACACTTAGTCATCATAGTGTTTGTTTAGGACATATTTCTACTAATCTACAAACTCCTCAAAGACCTTGACTTTTGATCTTCAATACACCTAGAAGTGTGCCCAGTATGGAGTGAACTCTCCATGTATTTCTTTTTCTTAAAAAAAAAAAAATCTTTAAATTTTTATTTTGTGGATGATTTGCCCACATGTATGCCTGTGCACTACATGAGTGCCTTGTGCCCACAGAGGCTGGAAGAGGGTGTCCAATTACTTGAACAGGATTTATAGACAGTTGTGAGCTGCCATGTAGGTGCTGGAAATCAAACCTGGGTCCTCTGCAAGAGCAGCCTGCTCTTAACCACTGGGCCATCTCTCCAGCCCTCATTACATATGTCTTATATGTTGTTGGACTAAATTAGGCACAGAACAACAAATTCCAAATAATGAACTGGGGGAAACTGTAAAACTAGCTAAAAGAGAAAGAAACAAAGACATAACCCCTTTGTGGAGCCAATGAAGAAAGAAACCAGCTATAAATCCTGATCTGTTTCCATGACTACTACACCTGCCAAGTCTGTCACTCAATGTCATCGTTACAGCATATTTGCTGGAATTATGCAAACAAATTTATCAGCAAGACCAACAAGTTCTGGGGCAAGGCAGGAAATAGTAGGTTTAATGTCCAGTACACATTGAGATAAAGTTGAAGGTTATTTGGAGAGACTGGGGAGATAGCTAACTTGGTAGTATGCCTGCCTAGCATGCACTAGGTGCTGGGTTCAAACCCAAGCACTGAATAACTGGGCATGGCCCATGTGCCTAGAAATCTCAATATCCAGAAGGTGGAGGCAGGACGATGAGAAACTCAAGGTTAGGAACACCAAGCCTCATGGCTTGTGTTTGATGTCTAGAACTCATATTCTAAGGAGAGAACTAACTCCTGAAAGTTGTCCTCTGACCTCCACATGCAGGCTGTGACACCAGCACTGTGCTCACACACATGCTCACATGCTCACACGCTCACACACACAGACACACACACACATTAAAAAACAAACTTCAAGATTATTCTATAGCAAGTTTTGGGCCAGGGAGCCTGTCTTTAAAAAAAAAAAATCAATAATGATAATTTCAAGGGCTGAAGACATGGCTTAATTGGTGACAGAGCGCTTGCTTGCCTACGACATGCAAGTTCCTGGGTTCCACCCCAAGACAGAAAAAAAATAAATCACTCTGCCCAAAGATGCCCTCCACTCAGGCACTGCTTGTTCAGCCGGTAACATATGCACTCAACAATACAGCTGCTTAATCAGCCTAGCACAGTTTTTTATGGTATTACCCTGACATTTTTTCTGAAAGTGACAATAAGCAATAGAGACAGTATTCACTACCGCACAGGGCCTGGCCACTTTTTAAGTCCGGCGACTTGACTTGTGGTTAACTGCTCCTTGTGCAAGGATATATGGGTACGAGAAGGAAGGAACTGGAAACAGTTCAGATCAGCATAAGTCAGTATCTCCTACAAATAAGTTTTCTTGGCTAAGCCATTCTGAGTGGGAAGAAAGCCACATGTGGACTGCAATCTGCAGAACAGAAAGGGGAAAAGGTGGCCTGTCTCAAAACTTCCAGCTTCCAGACGTTCAACGTTTGTAAGGAACCTTCCTGTGTTGTGGTTTACAGAATTTCCTTGCTTCTTCCGGGTACTGAAGAACTCACTTGTCAGTCAGAAGGCCCCGTTCAGAGAACCCTGTCATTAAGCAGGATGGTAGAGTTGTCTGAAGACATTGTTAGGACATACTTATAATCAGATGTGTTTCTTTCCACTGCCAAGGGATGGTGTCTGTTCACCGACCTCTCACTGAGATAAGACAGTATAAAGATTACAGTCTATCTATATGCCAAAACAAAAACAAAAACAAAAAACCCAGGGAGGATTAATTTAAATTTCCATGGATTCCAATTCACTTCCCTTTCACTTCCCACTCCCCCCTCCCCCTTCCCAGTGTTCATTCTATCAACAAGTGCTCAGGGCCGGAGGTATACCTCAGGGTAGAGAGTGTGACACAAACACATACTCGAGTACCTCAAGTCGTGGGCAAGGTAGCCAGAGGCAGGACGGCTTTCATTACCCACTGCCTTTTCAATACTCCTTTTCAACGCTCACCATATGTCCTTCTGCATCTTCCTGTCTCCATTCTCTCTATTTTGCATACACATACCTACAATACTTCCAGCTCGGTCGCTCCTCACTCTTTCTACCTCGGTCGGTGTCAGCATCACCACCCACAAAACTCCCTGCCTGCATCATCTTCATCCCCATCTGGACCTAGCCTCACCTGGTCCTCGCCCCGCACCCGTGGCCGGTCCCCCGGCAGCACATCGCTTTCGTCACCGCCACAAGGGTCTTCCAGCCCCTCGTACCCTAGGACGTGAGGACAGCCGCGGAAGGCAAAGTCTTCGAGCTCGCGCAGCAAACGCTGCTGCTCCGCCGGCGCCCCGCGCACTACCTGGCGCAGGCGGAACTGCACCTGCGCGAAGTGCGAGGACAACGCGAGCAGGGCCGAATCCAGCTGCCGCCGCTCGGCTTGCAGCCGCCTCAGCGTGCGGACAGTCGCGTCCGGAGGAGAGCTCGGAGCCGCTCCAGGCTCTTCGGCTGCCGCCTCCTCCGAGAACGTCGTTGCCCCAGGACCGGCTTCGGCCACTGCCCCCACGGGAGCCCAGCGCACAGTCTCGCATGGTGGCAGCGACTCCTCCTCCTCCTCCTCCTCTTCTTCTTCGTCCTTCGCCTTAGGCCCGACGGCGGTCACCACAGTTCCCAGCTCTGTAGAGGTTCCCACCGCCGCCATCTTCCCGGAAACGCCGCCGCACGTCAGTTGCGCCCCTTACTGCCATGGCAACGGGCTTGTGTAAGCGGTGGGCGGGGCTTGTAGCCTCCAATCTCGGGAGGGCCCGCCCCCTCGGGACTTATTTAATGCTTTTTGTGAATTAGACACAGGAATACTTTGCGTTGGAAGAACAAGTGAATGAAACCCAGAACAAGTAATGTCCTGCCTATAGGGTCTAGGGTAGTCCTTTCCCTGTACAAAAAGGGTAGATATTGTATTCCTGATCTGTCTATTTCTGGAGACTCCGAGATGTAGTAAACGCTCCCAGAGTCCTTCTGGAGTGCAAATCACTTTTGCTGTCAAGCCACCTTTCCCTCCCTCTCAACCCTTCCTCCTACCATATTAGGAGAGACAGCTGCTAGGGAGCTCTTAGGAGCTAAAGATAGAGGCCTTTGCTTGGGACTCCAAAAGCCACGGGGCAGCTGGAGCCACCATGGAACGGTGAGTTTCAGGCCGCCATCATACAGGCCCTAGATACTCCCCTCCCCGTTTTCCTGCAGATTTCCTGCCCCACATCTTGTAGAAGCTGCTGATTCTGCCCATCGGAGCCCCAGACTCCAGGTCTCTGTGACTGTGGGTGAGAGGGGTGGTAAGCTCTGAATGTACTTCCTAACTCCTTACTTCCCTTGTCTCTCCGGGTTTAGTCTCACGACCTCCACTCACTCCCACCACTCCCCTCCGTCTGGTTCAGTGGGACCACATACGACTCTATTGCCTCCTCCCTCCACCTTTCCACATTGCCTTCAGTCTTACCCCTACCAAGCTCCACCTCCAACCTCTTCAGGCAGCATGCCCGGACTCTGTGGTACGACAGACCCAAATATGTTTTCATGGAGTTTTGCGTTGAGGACAGCACCGACGTCAATGTGCTCCTTGAGGACCACCGCATTGTGTTCAGGTAGTAGCCATCCCCAGTGGACTGGCCTGGCGTCTCAAGAACTGTTCCTATCCCCCTGGTGTCTCAAGAACTTGTCCCATCACTTCCTACTTCTCTTTACTGTATCTTTAGCTGCAGGAACGGTGATGGGGTGGAGCTGTACAATGAGATTGAGTTCTATGCCAAGGTGAACTCCAAGGTGAGAGCAGGGTAAGGATAGTCATATCTGGACAAGAAAGGTTGGCCAAGCAAGGAAGCTGGAGGTTTATCCTAAAAACGAGGCTGTCTGTCTGACAGGACTCCCAGGATAAGCGCTCTGGTCGCTCCATTACTTGCTTTGTGAGGAAATGGAAGGAGAAGGTGGCCTGGCCTCGGCTCACCAAGGAGGATATAAAGGTGAGTATGTAAGGGGTGGTCTACTGCTGTGCTCTCTTCATCCAAGCGAGCACTCTCTCTGTGCACCCAGGCATCAGAGTTATATCTGGAATGGTGTTTGCTTTCTTCCCAGTCACTATTGAGGACTCTGAGTCCTGTGTGTTTGATCTCCCAAATATTCTGGAGTCTATGTATTTCCTCCTAGTCTAGACAGCATCCGTCAGGGTTTGTTGGGGGAAGTAGGTTTTTGTCTGTTTGCTTTTGGGTTTGTTTTGTTTTGTTTTAGTTTTTTTTGGGGGACAGGGTTTCTCTGTGTAGTCCTGGCTGTCCTAGAACTCACTCTGTAGACCAGGCTGGCCTCAAACTCAGAAATCCACCTGCCTCTGCCTCCCGAGTGCTGGGATTAAAGACATGCGCCACCACCGCCCAGCTTGCTTTTGGTTTTGAGTCAGGCTCTTTCTACTTTGCTCAGGCTGGCCTTGAACTTGCCATCCTGCTGCCTCAGCCTCCTGAACATTGACATTACAAGCATGTCTGTGACATTACAGGCATTACTATGGCTGACTCTGTTGCATATTTTCCATCTCATTTCTGAGCCACTCTTTCCACTGCTCCCAGTGTGCTCTGGTAAACACAATCTTGACTTTGTCTCTCTAGAGCTCAAGACCCTTGAGGGCAGCTACTCCTCTGAAAGCTGAAAGTTGGCCACCTGCTGGCTGAATCTCCCTTTTACATTTGGTTAGTAGGTTTTTTTTTTCCACAGTTAAAACATTATTCTGAGGGGCTGGACTCTGTTAGAGCACTGGTTGCTCCTGTAGAGAACCTGAGTTCAACGTGCAGGTCCCACAATGGTGGCTCAAAACTGTCTGTAACTCCAGTTTGCAGAGAGCCAACACCTTCTTCTGACTTCCATGGGCACGTGGTACACACACACACACACACACACACACGCAGGCAAAACATTCACACACATATGATAAATAAATCTTAAAAATTATATTGACTGGCTACTGGCATTTATAATTTTTTACTTCTTGCTGACATTAAAAACATGTAGATTATGGGGCAAGTGAGACGGCCCAGCAGGTTAAGGTGCTTGCTACTGATCTGAGTTTGAGGCCCAGGTCCCACTTCCTGGAAGGACAGAACTAACCCCCACAAATATGACATCCATTTGTGTAAAGTGCCATGTTCCAATAGATAAATAAATAAATAAATAAATATGATTTTGATATTTTTATTGTAGACTGTGAAACTGGAAAGATGACCCGGTTTTGTTTTGGTTTTTGGTTTTTTCTTTTTCTTTCTTTTTTTTTCTTTTCTTTGTTTTTTTGTTTGTTTGTTTGTTTTGTTTTTGAAGACAGGGTTTCTTTGTGTAACAGCCCTGTCTTTCCTAGAACTCTATTTGTAGACCAGGCTGGACTCAAACTTGGAAATCTGCCTACTTCTGCCTCCAGAGTGCTAGGTTTAAAGGAGTGTGCCACCATACCTGGCTAGAGAGACACAGTTCTTAAGAGCAGTGGCTACTTTTCCATGGGACTCTGGTTTAATTCCCAGCTCACAGCAACTCAGAAGTGCTTAGAACTCTAGTTCCAGACAATTCGGTGCCCTCTTCTAGTCTCCATTGACACCAGGCTGGAATATGGTCCATAGGGGCAGACAAAATATTTCTGGGTGTGGTGACATGAAGATGCAGAGGCAAGTTTACAAAGCAGTTCTAGGGCAGGGAGGCCTAAAACACAAATGAACACAAGCAAAAAATAAAACCCACCTCCCCCAAAACAACAAAAACTTTGAGGTGAATATGTATGAATGTTTAATTGTTCTTTGTTTTGGGACAGGGTCACATGTGGCCATGACTGAATTTTTATCTTGCTATATAGCGGAGAGTGATCTTGAACTCCTGGTTCTCTGGCCTTCACCTCAGAGGTGTTGGCTTGCTAGGCCAATGCAGTACACCTGGCTTTAAATGCGGGCAGGTTGGAATGCTGAAAGGTTGTATCTGACTCTGGGGAACGCAGCTTGTCTGTCTTGCTTGGATGAGTCCTAGGATGTTTTGTGTTGACCACCCTAGTCCATCAGCCCTTGGAGGGTAGAACTCTGTGCTTTTTCAGACCCTGTGTTTTTGGCATTGTGTTTGGCACCGAGTAGGTTCTGGTGAATATTTGTGGATGCAGCTTGGAGGGCAGGCTGGGAGCACTGTACCACATTGACCTTTCCCTCTGAGGTCCCTGTCTATGCACATGCCCCCTCTTTCCCTGGACTGTTGCTCCTGTCCTCCTGCTGTGATGGTTTGTGCTTCCTCTTACAGCCTGTGTGGCTCTCTGTGGACTTCGATAACTGGAGAGACTGGGAAGGAGATGACGAGGTAGAGCTGGCTCAGGTGGAACACTATGCAGAGGTATGAAATACAGCGCCTGCTGCCCGTCTTAGTCATTCTGTGTCTGTGTGCACGTACTTGCTGGGGAATTATCAAGGCACAGGCAGGGACATTAGAACTTTCTCAGCAGGCCACTTGCTGGTGCTAACAACCTGAATATTTGTAATATCATTGTATACTTATATGAGAGAAATTAGTATTAATGAAATTTAAAAGAAAATAAATAAAGACTGATTATTTATTTATTTTTGAGACAGGATCTTAACTATGGAACTCTGAATGGTCTGAAACTCACTCTATAGACCAGACTGGCCTCAAACTCAGAGGTCCACTTCTGCTTCCCTAGTACTGGGGTTAAAGATGTGTTCTACTATCCTTAGGATTATTTGTGTGTGTGTGTGTGTGTGTGTGTGTGTGTGTTGGACCCCTGGAGTTATAGGTGGTTGTGAATCATCCAATGTGGGTATTGGAAATCAAACTTGAATCCTCTGGAGAAGCATGTACTCTTAGTTTTCAGCCATCTTAAAACAAACAAACAAACAAACCAGCTGAGCAGTCGTGGCGCACACCTTTAATCCCAGCACTTGGGAGGCAAAGTCAGGCAAATTTCTGAGTTCAAGGCCAGCCTGGTCTGCAGAGTGAGTTCTAGGACAGCCAGGGCTACACAGAGAAACCCTGTCTCAAAAAACCAAAAAGAAAAGAAAAGAAAAGAAAAGTTTATAGGACTCTAATACTAACCAGTATAAAACTTGTAAGTCACTGATTCCGCATAAACAACACCTGTCATGTGTGATTTGGTTTTAGAAGACCAGAAACTCCTTAATTCAAATTGTAAAAGGACACACAGACCCCAGACTTGGATTGACATGGAGGATACTTTCTAAGTGTGTTTAAATTGATTGAATTTTTTTTTTCTGTATGAGACTCAGTCTCCCTATGTAGTTTAAGCTGATCTTGAACTTGCCATCCTCCTGCCTCAGCCTTGTGAATGTTAGGATGATTGGTCTGTGACACTCATTTTAAATTAGTTTTTTTTTAAGTTATTTTTATCGTGATTTGTTTGTTTGTTTATTATGTGTTTATGTGTACCTAAGTGAGCTTGTGTGAGCCATGTGCACACGGGTGAAAGAGGAAGTCTGAGAGCAGGAAGTGCCTGATGTGGATGCTGGGAGCTCAACTCCTTACATTGCAAGAGCAGGAAGTGCTCTTAACCTTTGAGCCATCTCTTTAGGCCCACACTACTCCCCCGCCCCTTTTGTTTTTGTTTTTGTTTTGTTTTGTTTTGTTTTTTGAGACAGAGCTTCTCAGTGTAAGAGCACTGGCTGTCCTGGAACAAGCTTTATAGACCAGGCTGGCCTCCAACTCTCAGATATCCACCTGCCTCTGCCTCCTGAGTGCTGGGATTAAAGGCTTGTGCCACCACACCTGGCTGTCCCTGGTGCTTTTGAGACAGGGTCTCATGAAGCCCAGGATGGCCTTGGAAAACTTCCTATGTAGTGAGCTGAGGCTGGCCTTGAACTCCTGATCTTCCTGCCTCCACTTGTTAAGTTCTAGTATTTGTAAGCAAGTACCAACATACATACCCTGTTAGAGGTTAACTTTTGTAAGGTGGGTTCTGGGAACCAAAGGCAGGTTCTTCTAAAGAGCAGCAAGTGGTCTTAAGTGGGGCCATATCTCCATCGCCCCCTGGCTGGGACTGTTCTCCCGTCTCTACTAATACTCAGACTGCTCTTCTCTCACCCCTCCTCTCTTGTGACTGTTTCTCTTCCTATTAGCTTTTGAACAAGGTCAGCACTAAGAGGCCTCCTCCTGCCATGGATGATCTGGACGTAAGTAATAGCTTCCTTTTAGCCTTTACAAATAGCACATTAGAGCTGGAAACAGCTCAATGGAAGTGTGTTTTCCCACCATGCACGAGTCCCATGCTCCAAAAAGGAACAGGAGAAAAAAAACGCCACAAACATATAAGAATGTGTATCCCATTCTCTAGCACACAGTGGCTCTCTGCATGTTCTGAGTTTTTGACACAAGATTGAGTGTTCTCTAAGCCTCCCCCTTCTTCCTCCCCATTCTAGAACACACCTGGCTCTGATGAGTGCCTGCAGCTCTTTAGAGCAGTAACACCACTTGAAATCCTCAAAACAAGGGATGCACAATACAGTCCTATTCATTGAGTCCTGGTGCTTTACCTCATTCCCCAAAGTTAGCTTCCTAAGAGATGTAACTTGGGATTTTAGGAGAGCAGGGGGAATGAGCAGCATCTGTGAAGCTCACCATAGAAACCACAAGTGCTTTGTCTTCTCCTTCCAGGATGATTCTGACAGCTAACTAGCTTTCTGTGACAGCGGACCTGGGGAGGAGGCTGTAGCTGCTGTCATGCTGAAAAGCTAGGATGGGGCCTTCTTCAACTACTTCACTATGCATGAAGAGCCACAGAGACCTCTGAACTCTTCTAGAAGCTCTTTCTGAAGGGTCCCTCTCCATGTGTTAGGTCTTTCTTCTGGCACCTGAGTGTGGGCCTGCATCAGATGGGGTGGAAAGCTGACTGGTGGGGCTACTGACTTCCCACTGACTTGACTTAGAATCTGTGCTTGGGAAGCTTGGGGTTTGGGACATGTGTTTACATGTGGTAAAGCAAGGGCCAAAGAAGAAAGAGATTATAATAAATTCTAGGAATGATCCTTCTCTTTCCTTCTTGTACTTCCCCTCCCCGTGGAAAGCCCCTTCTTTCTCCAGAGCTTCTGGCCACTGTTGCAGTGGGAAGGTGTTACAGAGACTTCATCCCACCTAGATGAAGTCACCCTGGACCTTTAGCTTTCTGTACCTCTGTGGCCAAGACTATGTAGCATTGTTTTTGTTTGTGTGTTTGTTCCAGAAAATGAGAGTTTGGTCCTCAGTGCCCATACCAGGAGGCTCACAACCACCTGAAACTTGGTGCTCATACACATAAGTAGAAATAAAATATTTTAAAAATCCAAATTATCGCTGAGCAGTCATGGTGAATGCCTTTAATCCCAGCACTTGAAGGCACAGGCAGGAGGATCTCTGTGAGTTCAAGGCCAGCCTGTTCTACAATTCAAGTTCTAAGACAGCCAGGACAGTTATACAGTGAAACCCTGTCTCAAAAACAAAACAAAACTAAAACAAAAAATCAAAAATCAAAACAAAAAAAACACCCCAAACTATCCAAATTATCATAAACATAGGTTTCTGAGCTTTGTGAGTTAAATTTCTTTTCTTCAGTTTAAAAAAAGTTACATGATGAAATATTATGGGTATTGGTTTTAAATAAAATTACACACACATACACACACACACACACACACACACACACACACACACACACACACACTTTGTGTATTTCTGTCCAGCTCCTCTGGTTTCCACCGTGCAGCAGGGCCCCTGCAAGGCCCCAAGAGCTAGCTGAAGAGCGTCTTAGTTCGAGCTGTGAATTTAGTTTTGTGGTTTTTCAGTCTCAAGACGGTGACAAAACAACACAACACCCACAGCAGTTTTAGTAAATTCGGGCAAATCATATCCCTTCATGCTGAGCGCGGTAACGCTTAAGAAAATTTGACCCATATCGCTCGCCGTCCGCCGCCCGGCTTTTCTGCGCGCGTTTGTCTCTCAGGCCTAGGAGACCGCGATGGCGTTCCTGTGTCAGCGCGACAGCTACGCACGGGAGGTGCGAACCGGTGGGCGAGGGTCCTGAGACCGAGGGTGCCATGGAGGGTGTGGTAGGGATGGTGGCTGCAGGCTCCAGTCTCGGCGTAAGAGGGATAAAGCTCGCACCCCTCTCTCTGCGCAGTTCACCACCACCGTGGTCTCTTGCCGTCCCGCCGAGCTACAGACGGACGCGAGCGGCGGCAAGAAAGAAGTGCTGAACGGTTTCCAAGTGGTTCTAGAAGACACGCTGCTGTTCCCTGAAGGCGGGGGCCAGGTACTAGGAGCAGCCTCAGCCCGACCCCCTCCCAGGAACCCCCACATTCCAGTTTGCTCCTGCAGAAAAATGCGCTCACCCTTTCTCAGCCTCAGTGTCTCAGAGGGACGTTAGTTCATTGCATTATTCATTCAGCACATGCTTATGTAGAAAGACACATGCAGTGTGTCATATTCCAGGCCCTGGAGATAGGCTGAACAGGACAATGCCTCTAAATACACGTGGAGTGCTTATTACAAACAACCCCATATGCCAAGTATAAGTAATGATAATGTCCCTAGAAATAGGCTGGGTAAAGGGAAAGAGTGGTGGAACCCTCTCCTTTGTAGAGAGCCTTCTGACTACCCGGTAGTTGTCTGTGAAGGGAAGGGGTGAGGCAGTGCAGCTATTTAGTGGTTCTGGGGCAAGAGAAATAGTTCAGGTAGACAGAATAGCTGTGCAGAGGCCCTGGGATGGCAATCAGCACGAGGCATTTTACAGGGACTAAGATGCTGCTCGGAGAGTTCAGAAGAGGGGCATTGAGTTTCAGAGCGGACTTTTAAGTGCTGAAGGAGAGCCTAGCTACAGCTTACAAAAAGAAGAGAGCCACCGTTATAGGAGGGGTCTTACCAGCCAGGTTGATAGCATAAACATGGACAGTGAAGCCTGAAAGAATTGCTGAATCAACCTAGCTGTAAACAAAGCATTGCATGATAGGAGCTTGTGCATGTTGACACAAGCTAGAGAGCCTTGGAAAGGTGATTGCTGCTAGTTCAGAGGGCCTTGGAGGATATGCGAAGATACAGGCTCCATTCAGGAACCAGCGAGCTGGGGAGGATCTGAGGCAGGGAAGAATTCGGTAGATCTGTGGGAGGGGAAAGCCTCAGGTTTTGCTCTTTATTTTTCATCAGTTCCTATTTCCCCACATCTCGAATCTGATCTGCCAAAGAAAACCCTTGACTCCCCCCCCCCCAGTGTCTGTAGAGTGCCTCTTTTTATTATTTTTAAAATTGCATTTATTCATTTAATTTTTATTATTTGTTTGTGTATGTGTATGTGCTGGTGTGTGTGTGTGTGTGTGTATGTGTGTGTGTGTGTGTGTGGTGTGTGTGTCAGAGGATTTGTGGGAGTTGATTTTCTCCTTCTACCCAGGTCCCAGGGTTCCAACTCAGGACATTAGGTTTGGCAGCAAGTACCTTTAACCTGTGAGCCATCCTACTAGCCCTGAACCTTTCCTATTAGACATTACTTCCTTCAGTTTTCCCGATTTCCCAGACTATTACTAGGTCTCTTTAGTTTGAGTTTCTGTGGTGTGATCTATGTGTCTTATCTACATGTTGTGATTTGGATGGCTTGTAGCAGCTGGCACTTGATACTTTTCTAAATGATGAGTGGACATTGTTCAATCTAATCCTGGTGTCAATGCTGAGGACTGAGTAGTTAAAGGCAGGAACACTGTTAAAGATAATCCAAGCCAGTGGTTCTCAACCTTCTTAATGCTGTGGCCCTTTAATAGAGTTTCTCCTGTTCTGGTGCAGCTCAACCATAAAGTTATTTTGTTACCACTTCATAATGAAATTTTGCTGCTATGAATTGAGATGTAAACATCTGGTATGCGAGATATCTGATATATGACTCTGATGAAAAGGTCAACAACTCCCAAGGGGTCGTGACCCCCAGGTTGAGAACCATTAATTTAAGCTGCCAACAGTAAGGATTTGGATCTTTTGAGTTTTACTAAAATCTTCAGTGCTGTACATATTCCTTTTGTTTTAATGCTGCTCTTCTGTCGTGTGTGTGTGTGTGTGTGTGTGTGTGTGTTCAAATCGAGGCCAGAGAATCCTGTCATGGAATTAAGTGGGCCCACCTCACTTGAAGTTGTCCCCTAGGAAGCTCTGGGTCTGTCTCTCTGAGAGCTTCCCTTAGAGGCTTTTCTCATCTAGGTAGGGTGAGCCCAGGTTGATTACTTCTTTCCTCCAGCCTGATGACCGAGGTACCATCAATGACATCTCTGTGCTGAGGGTGACCCGTCGTGGGGCCCAGGCTGATCACTTCACCCAGACACCTCTGTCCCCTGGGAGTCAAGTCCAGGTCCGGGTGGACTGGGAGCGGAGGTTTGACCACATGCAGCAGCATTCAGGTAAGGGCCACAGGATGGGGACATCCAGGAAGATGGGCTGTGAATAGCCATGTCACAATGACTGAGCTGGGATTTCAGTTCTCGGGATCAACATCCTGAGAACCAGCTTTGATCCAGCCAGTGTGCAATGAACATTGTGAAAACAACATGAACATTAAAGTTCTAAAAGAACTATTGGCCTTTTTTTCTCCTTTTTAATTTTTTTTAAATTTAATTTCTCAGGGAATGGGGTGTGCACATGATGTATTATGCCTGTGGAAGCCAGAGGACAACTTGTGGGGATCAGTTCTCTCCTTCAACAATATGGGTCCTGGGGGTTGATCTTAGGTTGTCAGACAAATCCTTAATCACTGAGCTATCTTGCCAGCCCTTTCTTGGTTTTGGGGGGGGACAATGTTTTCCCATGTAGCCTTGGTTGGCCCAAAACTCAATATGTAAATTAGACTGACCTCCTGCCTCCTGAATATTGGGTTACAAGCATACCATGCCTACCCAGTTACTGCTAATTAGTAGTCTCACTTGATGTCTCTATCTGGATGTCTTGTAGATTTTCAAATTCATAATATTCCAAAATGAATTCTCCTGACTTGCTTTAATATCCTGCTGGTCTTCAGCATCTCCTCAGTCACCCACAGTGTCTCCCCAGTCACCCACAGCGTCTTCCCAGTCACCTACAGTGTCTCCTCAGTTTCTTAGGTCATTCTTCAGCATCTCCTCAGCCATCCAGATCATTCCAGATGCCTCACCGGTGACAGGGAGTCAGTCACCAAATGTCTCCATTTATCCTCAATTATCTTTCTACTTCTGCCCCCCGCAGTAGTCCCAGTCCCAGGCTCGCCATCTTTCTGTGGACCTGTGGCTGTTTCCCTCACGTGCAGTCTTGCTCCTTGCTCCTCTGTGCCTACGCAACAGCCCAAACAGCCTTTTCTTTTCCTCACATTAAGGACTAAATCTGGGGCCATAGAGCAATCCTTTTATTTCCTTACACTGCTGGAGATCAGACCCAGGGCCTTGCCTGTGGTAGCTGAGCCCTCTGTCACAGAGCAGTCTCAACACTCCTTTAAAAAAAAAAAAATGAGATCACCTCACTCCCTTGTTCTTCAGAGTCTTCCTGTAGTTCCTATGTGTAAAGCTAGTTTCGTTACCAAGGCCTACAGACCTGCTGTGGCTGCTTGTGTGTTCTGATCTCATCAGGATCCCCCCACAGCTAGCTGTCTGCACCCCCCATTGCACCCATCCTTTGGAACAGACTACTGGCACATATCACACCTCTTTCCTCCTCAAGGCTTTGACAATTCTTTACTTAATTCTTCCTCTCCCTTTTCTTCCTGTCCTCTTCCCCCTCATCAGTCAGGAGTGCAGGTGCACCTCAGAAGTCGAGCTCTGCATTCTACATATGGTAGGCATTCAGTGAATATTTGTCAGATGAAGGAACGCCACACACCAGAACTCCAACTCAGACTTCGCTTCTGAGGAGATCCTTTGCCTTGGCAAGCTATTGTGAAGTCGCGTTGTAAAGCTGCAGGGAGAATTCTCAAGCTGATCTATCTGTCTATCTGTCTATCTATCTATCTATCTATCTATCTATCTATCTATCTCCTGCCCCCACCTCCACCCCTT